AGTCTCAGAGATGGCCTTAAGCTCCCGAAAGTCGCCAGCCTGGGTTCCAGTCCCGTGACACTCGACAAAAGCCGTCTGGTTCATGTCCAGGTCGTGCTTGGAGTAGAGGGATCGGATGTTGGCCACCTGGGCCTCCTTGCTCGGAAGAGTGATGCCTTGTAAAACCGTCAGAATTTTGTCCCCCAGTCTCCTCGCAACGTGGAATACTCACCTGTGGTCAGGCCGTCTTGGTTTACGTGAGTGCCACGGATGACAGCTCGAATGGTATCATTGTCTCGGACAGCATCCGAGAGCTTCTTCAAGACAACGAATCCAATACCTTCCCCGCGACCGTAACCATTGGCACGAGAGTCGAAGGCGAAACATTTTCCATCTGGGCTGAGAAAGTTGAGTGCAGTCATGGGCATCATTGTGTTGGGTGTGAAGATAAGACCAGCACCGGCAGCGAGGGCCTTGAGAAGTTAGCCTGCGAATTCCAAGATGACGGTAATGGAGGATTCGTACCATTGAACAGTCGCCAGCTCGGAGAGCTTGGGCGGCGAGGTGAACTGCAACAAGACTTCCACTACAGCCAGTATCGATGGTCATACTAGGCCCCTTGAAGTCGTACGTGTAGGACACGCGGTTTGACATGATGGCATTTCCAGTGCCCGTAGCGGCATACTGGGGCTGCCAGTCCATATCTCTGAGGCAGATTTGTTCATAATCTAGGTCAATCAGTAAGGCAAGGTGAGAGAGAAGCGAGGTAATAACGAACCTTTTACAAACGAGCCCACGTAGACAGCAGTCGGACTGCCTTTCAGGTCTTCCATGCGAAGACCAGCTATATCAGGTTAGCACGGAATTATTCGAAAGATTAAGGGCCAACGCACCATTCTCAAGCGCTTCGTAGGAAACCTCTAGTAGGAATCGCTGTTGAGGATCAATGGCCTTGGCGTCCTCTGCCATGATGGAGAAAAACTATAGAGTGTCAGAAAAAGTGGCATTCCACATCCGGAGGTCTCTGATGGGGACTCACCGACGCATCAAACGCTGCGACATCATCCTTGATGAAATGCGCTCCTCGGAACGAAATCTAGGTGAATCAGGTCAGTCTGAAGATATGACAAAATAATTTGGACGAGGTGAGATGAAAACCCACGCTGCCCTGACGATCACCACTTGGATGATAGTAGCCATCGATGTTGAGACGATCCTTGGGGAATTCTGACCAGGCCGACTCCTTCGCAATCAACATCTCCCAAAGCTTCTCCGGAGATGTCGCATTGCCTGGGAAGCGGCATGCCATGCCGACGACGGCAATGTCTTCCATCTTGCCCGCCTCAACGGATTTCGCAACCAGGGTGTTGTCTTCAATGGGAAGTATCGACAGACGAGGTGGTAGGAGGGGAGACGCAAGGCGAAAAGAATCTGACTGTACGAGGGCAGCTCAGACAACAAGATCCTGTCTCCTTCGTGACCGGGTCGATGAGTACAGAAGAAGGAAAGGGTATCAATCGGCTGGAAAACAGGATGGAAAGGGAAGGAAAGAAATCTCTGAAGAATAAAGGTGAAGTTGGGTAGTTGAAAATCTTTTCTGCCACCGGACAGCTGACGGCGGGTGACCAAGGGGGTCCCGGCCTTGATATTCAAATGTGAATATGAGTTGAAGGTGAAATCGTGCTGCCTTTGGTGCCAGAGGCACTGCCAAGTCCATCCACTTATTCCACTCATATGCGGGGGCGGGAGCATACGGCATGAAGCTTAGAACTTCACCTGGCGGTCAGCATCAATCCTTTGGTGCAGGAATGGCTCTTTGTATGATATGACTTCCAACGTAATTGCATGAACGTCACTCGCTGTGATCAATGGTCTTTGTTTCTCAGGGAATCTTCAACCATCCCTTTGAATGTAGCCATAATACCGTCTTACATAGAAGAAGATATTGGCTCTTCGTATCAAAATCATAAGGGCAACTTCATTCGGTACAGCTCCTCCTCATGCGGCCCTCTTTGGATTGTGGTTCTTCAGAAGCATAGCCCACGGATATCAACGGCTTCTTGCAATTAGACCGACGGCCAAATCAAGAGAAGCTATGAAGACGGGAAGAGGATAGAGCTAGTTGCTTGAAATAGAACAGGGATGGGGCGCAGCCCACTTTGGCATGCAATCAGCCCTAGGAGACCGTAAGAACATCTCCAACATGGCATAAAGTTATGTACGTAGGAGAACAACAACCACCGATCCTGGAATCCTTCCGCTGGACGCTGGTATGGCCCTCATGGGCCATCCCTTTACCGCATGTTGCAAACAGAACTTTTGAGGAGCACCGATGCTCCGACTCCATTGCAGGGGGGATGACGGGAGTAGCACATATTCCTTCCCTGGATCGATACAGTATCAGGCTGGCGTGTGCTCCAGTGGTTGTTAATGGTTGTAGGACAGCCGGTGGAAGAGATTTGGCTAGAAGATAGATCCCGAGTCAGTGCCAACCTGTCACGATGTTCGTGCTCGTTTTGCCACGACTACTGATTGCCAATGGTGCCCTGCTCTGAGGGGCTGTACGGAGGGTTGACGGTATGACCCGGGCAGAGAAAATGCATAACACAGTCAATTTGACCCGTTTCCTCGTGGTGGTGCCCAATCCTCAGGAGGGCCTGGATCGCCAGCCGCGCGGTCTCGGTGCGAGTACAAAAAAGAGAAGCGGATGAGACTGGATAGAAGAGGCCGAGCGATCTGATTTCCGACGATGAGAAGACCGGGGAGCTTTGACAAACCACGATGGAGCAGCTAACCGGTTATTTCTGATCATTTCGTTGGGCGGGGACGTTGACGTGTCGAACAAGGTTGGTGGCATTGACAGGAGTGTAGCTCGCCCAAGGACATTGTGCAGTACTCACCGACGCGGCCGTACATATGAAGGTCCGATGTTCCGGAGACTTGGCGCCAACTTGATGTTAGTTTCGTGTTGCTCTCCGTTCCAAGAGTCTCTCGAGCGGACTGGCCTCTCATCGACCTCTCGAAGAAGTTGAAGTCAGATCTCTGGGCGATGATATTTACAATGTGTCAGACCGACATTGTCGTAAGTGTAGCGTGTTTTCATATGCAGGAACCCATTTGAGATATGTTGGCTCCAGGCTTCCACCGTCGTTGAATAGGGAACATCGAGCAAAGCAGAGAATGAGACCAAAAACATCGTTCACGAGGACAGGGAAATATAGATAAACATCGCCTCCTGGGGATTGGCCTGAGATGACTTGTAAATGGAACATGAAGTATGAGACTATGCCTAATGAAAAGAATGTCAACCGGGTACAGTTATCGTATCATGGGCTTGCCAAGTTTCCACTATAGGCACGGATGAAGTCCGGTTCAGTCCCATTCATACCACACCTCAGAGGCTCAGCCAAGGGCATCTCGGACCGAACATATTTTCCGCTCCGACTTCACACACGAAGTCAGGGATGTTTCATGGCTCGAGCGCCTCCATTCATGCTGCTCATTGTTACTTTCATTTCCTTTTGAAGTTGATCATGCCTACACACATCCAACCATCTCATAGGATCTCATGTGATCTCATGTGGCGGAATGTCCATTGAGAGGCCGCACCATCTCGATTGACGAAACACTCAAAGCCTGTACGACAGTTCAAAATGGAGCTGAGTTGACAGTGAAATTGACACAACGAGACCATTTTGCCCAGTCTGGCCAATCGAACCATTTTGGGACCGACTTGATGTTCCACAAGCAGGTGTACAACCCTCATCAATCAAGACGAGGGGAGCTCGACCCCTAGTATCTGTGATACACACCATCTTGGCAGGCCAAAGCGCTTCAACATGCCTCTCTTTACAGATCCCCCAGTTTTTGACAAGGATATGCTGCCGAAAACGTTGTCGCCCAGCGCTGCAGCAACCATTGAGGGAATGCCAGGCGAGGTCGTACACGGGCCGGACCAAAAGTTGTTCGGCTAAGCAGCGTGGCCCATGACCTCACTTCGCAGCTCTCAAGCTTTCAAACGAGCGACCTTTCTTCCATTGCGTTTTTCAATCGATGGATTGAACACAACATTTGAAAATGCAGAGTCGGGTGCTGGTGGCCCTCTGCGCATCTGTTCCTATCCAAGTGGGTAGGACGATGGCGACTCAACCACGAGGCATCTGGGAACACAACGTCCCAAATGGGGCGTGCAGAGCTAGTGGTGCAGACGGGAGGTCGGTCGGGGATACACAGATCCGGTAGGCACTTCGTTTTCCTGCTGCGATTTCCTCTCTCTTTTCGTCTTGTTACTCTGAAAATACAGAGCTGAATGTACACAAGGTAGTACTGTCGGATTCTGGCATCAACCGGAGACAGCCAGTCGATATTCCGTTGCACCGGCTCAGAGTCAAACAGTGTTGCTTGATATAAATTTCCCCCACCCCAGTCGGGGACTTGAGTGGCTTATTTACGAAATGCCACGGCCTCGAATGCTGAAGAGTCCTGGGGTTTGTACAACAACGGGACCTGTTTCTGTCACCCTAGTGGCAGCTCTTCTATTTCTGAGAGACTAGCAATTGGGACATTTGCCTGACACATCCTACCAATGGCTTGCCTTCTCCCCTCTGATGGGATGCGCAGTCACCATCTTGCCCCTGGCTTTTCCTCGGCCTCCATTCTCAAGCAAGAAAGCCTTTGTCTTGGAACATGATGTTTTCGTCACCACAGCCGAGCGAGACCAGGGCACAGGGCACGCGAACAACTGCCACAACTATGCTTCACAGTCTTGACGCTTTCAAGTTGTTTGTCCTACCTTGCACAGCACCCGTCATTGTCCGTGTCTTCGCCTACCCAAGGTGGAACTGTCAGAGAAGATCTCATCTTCACCCTGGCCTAGGCTGGATGAGCAAGCCTCTAGGAAAACCACTGTCTCGGGCATCATGGATAGGTGCATCTGGTGCTCTTCTTCTACTGTCAACACGAGGGTAAAGAGCTGCGGTCAGTATAACTATGTGTTGCGGCCACTGTCCAAGTTGGAGAGGATGGGCAGCTGTTTACCTCGTTTGTTCCTTGCTGCCGCTCAAGTCCTCACACCAAAGAGGGATGTGTGTTCACACATACACACGCACACACGTACCCTCAAAGTGTTCCTTTCCTCCTCACACCACCTGCCTTGTTGTTGCATCGTCGAGGTAACCAACAGTTCAATTACCAGCCAAGGCCCACGTCTACCTTCCTCAACCAACTCTACAAAGGCTCTCAGGACAGGCAGGTACAAGGCTGATCACTGTCTTGTTACTGGTTCTCTTTCCCTATGGGAAAACAAGCTAGCCCCTATACCCATTGAGGCGAGAGCAGCCAGGTATCCTCAGAAACCTTCCTCAACCAGATTTCCTTGACTCAAACGCCTTCTCTCCCCATATCACACCCACACAATCCCTCTCTTTCCCCTCTACTTTTCAGAAAACCTTTGCCTCATCGCCATATCTCTTCGAGACAAGCTGAAATCAAGCTTCGAATATTGCCATCGGTAAGATTCGAAGGCGTCTTTCTATCTTCTGCCTCTGAGAGGAGAAGACAATCGTCAACCTTACTCTATTCCGCTCTGACGACAAAAAAACCGCCGCCAACCATTGTCAAGATCATCGCAGCAATGGCCGCCCAGTCTCCCTCTCGTCGCGAGATGGCTGACCAGCTCTCCTACCCCAATCCGTCTCTGGGCGATACCGCTGGCTTCGCTGTCGCGAATTTTGCTCCCCGTCGTGGCGCGGAGTATCCCGCTGCCAGCCTTCGCCAGCCTACGATTGAGAGAGTCTTGATCGTCTTCAGGTAAGGGAATTGCAGCGTTCTCGCGAACCCAGCTGACCAGATAGCCTTCTCGTTGGCTTGTTCCTCGCTACTCTCGATACGTCCATCATTGCCACTTCCCTCATTGCCATCTCTGAGGAGATTGGCGACCACCAGCACGCTTCCTTTGTCCTTCTGGCCTACCTTCTCACCTACATGGGCTGCGCTGTCGGAATTGCCAAGTGCAGTGACATTTACGGTCGCCGAACCATGCTCTTCTACAGTTGGGCCGTCTTCGTCATCTTCTCGGCTCTGTGTGCGGGCGCGAAAAGCATGAAGCTCCTGATCATCGGCCGCGCCTTTCAGGGCGTCGGAGGCTCAGGCTTGTACAGCCTCGCCCAGACCTGTCTGCTTGAGCAAGGTCCTGCCCACAACCCAGCTCTGATGGGCGGCATCATCGGAATCACTCTCGCCGCGGCTTTCCTTATGGGCCCCATCTTGGGCGGTGTCATTGTCTCCAAGATTACTTGGCGCTGGATCTTTGGACTCAACATCCCCATCGGTGTGTTCGCTGTGGCCTGCCTCGTCTTGTCCTACCCCAAAGACCGACAGGCCTTCAAGATTTACTCTTGGACGGCATTCAAGAAGCTTGACGTGGTTGGTATGACCACTCTCTTCTTTGGCTCGGCCTTTCTGGTTGTCGCTATCGAGCGTGGTGGATACACATACTACGGTTGGGACCACTGGACCGTCATCGTCATGTTCGTGTGCTCTGGGGCTTGCTGGGGTATCTTTGGCATCTTCGAGAACTACCTTTACCGAAATCGCTGCCTCTTAATCGACCATCTGCGGTGCTCGCATCAAGAGCCTGTCTTTCCGGTACATCTTGCTCGACGCCGGCCCTTCATGTGCGGCTTGGCCGTTACCTTCCTCACAGGACTCCCCTATGTTGCCCTCACCGTCATTATCCCGGAACGCATGCAGGTGATTGCGCAGAAGAGCCCTCTCCAGTCCGGCATGTACCTGTTGCCTATGCTTGGAGCCTGCGCAGTTGGATCGTTCGTTGCTGGAGCGGTGAACTCCAAATCGAACAAGGTGGCTCTCGTCATGACTGTCGCGTCGATTGCGCAAGTCCTCGGTATCAGTCTTATGCTTATGGTCGTCGACGCTCAGGCGGACTTTGCTCCTGCGTACGGATTCACGCTCGTTTTCGGACTGGGCGTCGGCCTCAACTTTGGCTCCACGACCATTCTCTCTGGCGTCGAAGCGGAATCGACTAAGGAACACGCCGTCGCCCAAGGAATTCTCGCTCAAGCTCGCGCCCTCGGCGGTTGTCTTGGTGTCGCCATCTGCACTGCTATGTTCAACGCGCGCGTGGAAATTCTCCGTGATCATCTTTCTCCGTCTGAACGCGAGACTCTGGCCCACTCTCCAACCCAATCTTCCGCGTGGAACTCGCACCTCAGAAACCTCGTCAAGCATGTCTACACAGACTCCTTCAGAGACCAGACTATCTTCATGATCGCCGCCTGCGCCATAATGGTGGTCGCCGCCGTCTTTACTTGGGAGAAGGAACCCAGATCCATCACCCTTCTCACAGGTCATGCGCAGCAAGCCAATAAGACACGCCTGCAGCAAGAAGGCAACGACCACGACGGCACCGAGATGAGCGACATGGCCAGCGTTCGCTCTGGTCACTCAGCCGTCTCGGCTACTGTCCACGGTCGCACAGCCTAGACTTCATGGTCAACGCATTGTCCAACACGGTCATATAGCTTCATGGGAATATCCAATTTCAGGGAATCGGAAAACCAGGATCTGCTTCTTTCAGGGAGTTACAAGGCGTCAACCGGGGGGGCATCGGCTAAGGAATAGGGAGGTATTGTGCTTTCGCGCTCCTATGCGCTCTTATTCTCGTAAGCATTTCGGGCAGGCTTGGTCGCAAGCGTCCAACTGCATCATGGTTTAGGAACTTTCTGGTGTATGTAGAGTAGTTTTCGCCTCCTTCAAGGCGGTTCAAAGTTTCGACAAAAGACAGACTGTTCACTATCAATACTCTTTTCGCGCTTCTCGTGATACGTCATGCGGGTTGATTGCATTGATACCATCAAATATTAGTAGCATTTCCATGGATCTGACATGAGCGGGTTCGGGTGGATGCGCCTAATGGAAAGAGATACGCAGCTTGTCCCCACCGGTTCCGATTTTGAGGTATGTGCGTCTCGCGATGCGAATCTAGCATCGAAAAGTGACTAATTCAACGGCGCCGCCGCATAAGGTCTTTTTCAAAATAGAAGAATTTGATACTCATCTCCCTGACCAGCCGGCATCTGTCCCACATCCATCGAGATCAGAGATATGAGTCACTGAGGGGCCTCCATCTTCAGACAAGAGCGCACAACTCGCCTTCTGCCTCGTGCTTTTTTTCTGATTTTCCATTCAGGCGACCAAGACATGGCTCGTGTCAACGGTGTGACGGCGGTTGTGTGTGGTGGTTTAGCGCGTGGATGTGGACGTGGACGTGGACGGGAGGAGAAGTGGTTTTGAGACGTTGTCTTTGATTCGGTGAGTTGTTTACTTGGGGGATGTACGGATAGAAGGAGAAGGGGAGGGGAGGGATTTGGGACTTGGGATTTTGGAACCGAGACAATGGTTCCTGCGCGCGGTCTCTGTGTGTGACACCTATTTCTTGTAACTAGAGCACGGATTTTGTCGCGGAGGGCTTGCGAGATGAGAAGAATGAACAAGTGGTTCGTTTCGAACCCTGACTATTCTCAAAATTTCCGACCCTTATTGCCCTTATTCATGTTGTAAACTTGACTGGATTTGCTTGACTCTTTTTCAGTTTTCCTTTTTTTGCAGAACTAAAGTACCGTTTAAAAAGAATTCGAAAAAAAGTCTCCCTGGAATTGTAATGATCGGCTCAGGCTGCCAACCTCGAACGCTATGGCTTTTTCTAGGCCGACAACGAAACGGCCGGCCGGAAAAGGGCGTCAAACTTGAAAGTTTGAGAAGAGGAAAAGGGATTGGGTTTGAAGATGGGGCGACTTTTCCCCTCTCTCTCTCTGGAAATACCTACCTTTCCGTGTACGCAGTACGTTATTACTCCATCTTCCGAGCTATGGCACTTTTTTCTTCTTCTTCACCTTTGCTTTGCTTTGATGTACAGAGATCGCACCGTGGCACCTTACACCCCCCATCCCTGGAACTCAATGGGAGAACCAACGCAGCCAACAAAAGGACCAAGGACGAAAACGAGGCGAAACTCCCCAAAAGTCCAGCGCTCGAACCCTTCCTCTCAGCCTCGCCAGCTTTGCCCAAGAGCCCCGTCTCATCTGGTCTTCCCTAGACCCCTCCTCCTCCTCTCACATTGTCCTCATCGAATTAAGTGGTGCCTTATTATATGCCCCCTCGCCCTCCACATTGAAATGCGCGCAAGAAAGCCGTTGGCAGAGACCAACGAACGACGATCGGCGCCCAACGGGTGGATACTTCGGTTCCCTCGTCATGGAAAGGGTTTGCTTCGATCATTTATGCGCAAAAGTACACAGGCTACTTCCTTGTATACGTTGGTGAGCTGGGCGGAAGTTGGGTGGTCGGTTTGCTTTTTGCACCTCAGCCAGTTGACTTGGTTCTCCATTGCACTTACACGTGTCAGACCCGTTGCGAGCAGGGCATATACTGGTATTTTCATGCTGATGGAGGTTGCCGGGTTGGGCACAAGATCGCCTTTCGCGTTTGAATTTCATTCGCCAAGTCACCCTGAGCTTTCCCTTTCGGATATCCATTCATACGTGTTAGAGATTGCATGTTGGAAGATGAAAAAATGTCGGAAAAGAGGATGAGCCGAAACTCGCTCCTCATCGTCAATCGACAATTGGGTAATCAGTACTATGTAAATACCATATCCGATCCGGATCTCCGTGGATAGTCGCCGAAAAGAACAACCCCTCCATCCCGCCTCATCCCGCCTCATCCCGCCTCATCCCGCCTCATCCCGCCTCATCCCGCCTCATCCCTGCGTGGTGGAGTCATCGATACCCCCCTGTCCCCCGGACTCAAAGCGGGGAGGGTAGACCTGAAGGGGGGCGGCCTGGACCCGAAAATGGACAGATCCGGACCGCGGCGGCCGTCAAGCTAGGTACGTCCTCGACTCCCCAACTTTCTCCATCGGTTTTCGCTGGCGCAAGTTCCCACTAAAAATCGCCCGTCGGCGGTCGCCAATCTCATCATTGTCGGCAACCTACTCACCTACGCCTACGTACCTTACCTTCACCACCATCACCGCACATCAAATCTCACTCATCGACACACCATAGCGATCACACACGCATACCTCACCTCACACATCCATACACATCCATACACACCCACCTACCTACCTATATCCCGACCGTTGGCTCGGGCCAGCCTCATACCACAGCTTCACATCACGCTCACGACACTATCGTTTGATCACAGATTCACAGCCCCTCTCTCCTCCCCTCCTCCCCTGCTCTCTGCTGCCCTCCCCCTACACCTCTACACCTTACACCTTGGCTACCTACACCTCATCCAGCTGGAGCAACCAACCGTCAAGCCCCTCCTCCTCTTACTGTCTCTCTCCTCCTCC